GTGGTCTTTGAAAAGAATTCCCAAAGGAGAATTCTACTACCCGTCAGCTAGAATAAAAGATGAAGGCAAAGAAGTTAAGCAGGGACATGGTACATGATCCCTAGAGTCTTATGACCTTCAAATATGAGAGCCGAAACTTTTTTCTTCTTTGATGCATGGAATAATTTTCTATTTTAATTCTATTTTTTAAGTATGTATTTTATGTGTTTCTTTCTTCACTATGTAATGTAGATCAGTCATTAAATTTCCATTTGTTTCTGAAGTATTTGAATCTGAAATGGAATTATAAAACAATTCTCAGTATCAAACACTCTAAAGAACACAGAATAAAATATCTGAAAGTGACTTCCAGTTTTTTCTTTTGTGGAAGAAGAATGAGTGTCCAGCATATATGGAATGTGTTAGAGAGGTACATTTGGATAGAGGGGAATAACTGTGTGTGTATCTGTATGTCTGTGCATGTGTGGTTGTGCCTGAAAACAGCCATAAGGTTGAATCTAAAATATGCCAATTTGGGTTTAACTTTTGGCATATATAAATTTTCTGTTCCCTGGAAAGCTCTAAATTTTAAAAACTGAGACTTTTGGGGGGTCTTACATCCTCAGCTCTAGCTGATTGACCCAGAGGTAAATCAAAGCTGTATCATCAGATCATCCTTCCTGGGTGTTTTAGCCTTATTAGAGAGGTCTAGAAAATAAAAATCACTAGCACTGAAGTTTGGTAAAGTTGTTTCAAAAGAAGTTCTCCCAACCCCAGCTTCTGTAGTTTCTTCAGCTGCCAGCATTTCCATTCTCCCAGGTGGAACATATTTTCTTAGCTGTCCTTGGCATCCTGTGAACTACCAGGCTATCTGCTGATTAAAGCCTCTTTGTAATTTAGGCAGAATCCCCTTCTGTTCACAACTACAGCAATTCTTCTTTCCTCAGCTTTATTGAAGTTTAATTGACAAAAATTACATATATCTATAGTATTTATAATATATATCATGTTCTGATATATGTGTACGGGTGAAATCTAACTACATCAAGTTCATTAAGATATCTAGCACCTCATATAGCTATCTTTTGTGTGTATGTATCTCATACTTAAGATAAACTCTCTTCACGAATTTCAGGTGTAGAATATAGTATTATTAAGTGTATTTATCATTCTATACATTATTCATCCTGCCTGACTGAAATTTTGTATCTTTTTGCCAACATCTCCCAATTTCTCTCACCTCACATATCCTGGAAACCACCATCCTACTATCTGCTTCCATGAATTTCACTGGTTTAGATTCCACCAATAAGTGACATTGTGCCATATTTTGTCTTTTTGCCTGTCTTCTTTCCCTTAGCATAAAGTGCTCCATGTTCATCCGTGTTGTCTCAAATGACATGATTTCCTTCTCTTTAGAGCTAAATGATACATTTTACACACACACACACACACACACACACACAGACAGACAGAGAGAGAGAGAGAGAGAGAGAGAGAGAGAGAGACCGGCAGGTGTTTGAGATACTGATTTCATTTGCTTTACATATAAACCCAATGGCAAGATTAACGTTTTAAGGATCCTCCATTCAGTAATCTTAATTAAATCAACTCGTTACAGGTGGTAAAAATACCAAACCATCTCTTGAACAAGAATTTGTAAGGGAGACCTGGAATCAGAGGTTCAGAAACATTTTAAAAAGTAATTCCTGCAGAGTTTAAATAACTTTTAGGGTTGGAAGTTGCTTATGAGAGTTATAAAAGTAACATACTGGTATATCAATATTAAAATAACACTACTGGTAAATAACATTACTGTCTACTAATTTTCTTACGTTAGATTTCGATTTTTCCAAGCCAAGTTTCTATCCATAGATGTAGAACAAGGAAATTTTGTAAGAATGATATTGTGCTCTTTGATATTATTTCCAGTGCTTAGAAGCACACCTCAAAATGTACAGCTCACATTCCTTGGGCATAAACATGATCCCTTTAGGAAGCTGATTTTCATTCTCGAACAAGAGGTACCACCTCGTCACAGGATCCTTAGGGTGTGGCTTCGCCACCCAGAAACCTCTGTATCCACAGGCGCCTCTGCTAGAGTTTTGCCCGTGCCTGCTGGGCTTGTTTCACCCACTTGGCCCGGCAGGCTGTGAGGCTGTGCTCGACTCATACTAGCAGCCCGGATCACATACCTGGAAGGAGGAGCCAGGCGAGGAACAGCAAGAGGTTTGTGAGAAAATGAGCACGGGTCTGCCCACTGGGCACAGCCAAGCTTACTGCCTGCTGCTACGGGATGGGAGCTCCAGGTGCCGGCACAGGCTCCTGCTTCATGCGAGGCTGCTACTGGACTAGACTTACCGTGGCTTCCGCTGCAGGCATCAGCTTCTCCATGAGGGGAACACGGTGGCACCCCAAAGCTCAGAGACACCAGGAACCACAGAACCCCAAGAGGCTGTTACAGGATGTCACAGTCCTGGGTGAGAGAGACCAGAAGTATGGACTCCCAGAAAGGGTGCAGACCTTCTCTCCTCGTCGCCCACAGCAAGTGGGTGGGGGTAGGGTGTGAGTGTTTAGCCGGTTTGAAACTGCTCTTTCAGTCCTTCTGCCCCGTTCCGGCTCCACCACTGCTTGCCGGTCGGGTGGGGTGGCTGCTGGCAGAGGGTGGGATTGCTCTAGCGGTACAGGCCTTTTAGCTCCAACCCACAGCTCAGCGAGCCAGCAGGGAAATGTTACAGCTCCTTTTGCTCCCGCAGTCTGGGGATCCCGCATCAGAAAGATTGAAGTTACAGAAATTGGAGGATGACCAAGTCTGGGAAGAGCTTTACTGGGGGAACCATACAGCTTTCAAAGGAGAGGAGACAGAGAGCGAGCAGCTCCTATCTGCAGGCAGACAGTGCCAGGTGCTGTGGGACCAGGGTTTTTATAGGCTCAGAACGGAGGAAGTTCATGCTAATTGGTTCATGGGTAGGATAAAGTGAGTGCTCATTGGTCCATGGGCAGCCATGGGCGGGCTTGGAAAAAGCACCATTCCAATGGCCATAAGTTATCGAGAAAATTCTCACTCGGGGTTGTGGCCCCCATCCGGAACTTGCAGCCCTGCCGCCAGGCTTGAGCGTCACGCCTTGCAAGGTACACATCCCTTCCCACTTCCGAACCTGTCTGCTCCTGCTGCCATCAACGTGCAGTCAGTGGCGCCCAGGCTGACTACTCTAAGGGGTGCCCATAGGCCCTCACCGAGCTACCGTCAGCCCCCAGACTCCCTTCCATGCTCATTAGCACCCAACATTTCAGCCTCAGAGCAGTTTCTGGAGCGGGCCAAGGCTGCTGGGAGCTGGCGTGTCAGCACTGCCGCTAGTGTTCACACACCTGACTGGGTCGCGACAGCCCCTGGCCTCGGCAGTCGGGACACAGCCACAACTTTGCTCCACTGCAGAGCAGGCACTGGGAGCAGGGAGAGTCCAGGGAGTGGGAGCAGGAACTTCGGAGCCTGTGGAGGCAGGGGCTTTCCCGGCACCGAGAATACAGGCATGCCCGAGTCCGGAGCCATGGTTGGGCGGCTGCAGCGGGAGCGCGGGCTCCTGCCTTGCCAACTCAGTCGGACACAGGGCTCCCTCTGGGATCACTTGTTTCCAGCACCCGCTGGCTCCGCTGAGTGCGCAACCCTGGCCGCGCCTTCCCTGCCGGAGCTAATGTCCTCACAGCGGCTGCTCCAACCGGGCCATTGCTGCCATCATTATCATGAAAATGCTTCCTTAGACGGGCTATACTTTTTACTAGCTAAGAACGCAGAAGAGCAGAAGATCAAACACCGCATGTTCTCACTCATAGGCGGGTGTTGAACAATGAGAACACATGGACACAGGGAGGGGAGTACTATACACTGGGGTCAGTTGGGGGGAAATAGGGGAGGGACGGTGGGGGGTGGGAAGCTGGGGAGAGATAGCAAGGGGAGAAATGCCAGATGTAGGTGATGGGGAGGAAGGCAGCAAATCACACTGCCATGTGTGTACCTATGCAACAATTTTGCATGTTCTTCACATGTACCCCAAAACCTAAAATGCAATAAAATGAATAAATGGGGAAAAAAAAAAAAGAACTCGGTATCCAGAGATGGGCTGCTGAAGATCACAGCCCAGTGCACGCCTCACTAGATTTGTGAGATCCTAATTAATTTCCCTGCTGACATCCTTTCACAACTCAAATATGTTCTCTTCCAAATGACCTTTTCTACTGTAAATGAGATCACACCACGTCCTTGTTTAAAACCATTAACGGGCCTCCATCTGATTTAAAACAAAATCTAAGCTCTTATGAACAGCTACCGATGCACGTCCCACCTATACTCACAGACTCAACCTGGGTCTTTCTCTCTCATTTCATTGTGTTCCAGTCACACTAACAGGCTTTCAGTTTTTCACAACTGACCAACTTATATCCCTTCACAAAGTACTTGTCTTAACTGTCCTTCTTTGTCGAAATCCTTTCCCTGCTTGTCACTTTTACTCTTCGTGTCTTCTAGAGAATAGATATAACCTCTAGAAGGGACGTTCTCTCGGTGTTCTTTCTAGAGTAAATACCCTAAAAGTGTTTCTTTTAGCACCCTGTTTGCTACTTTTATGGAACTCATCACCTGTGAAATCATTTAATTTGTTTCTATGTGTTTATTTTCAATCTCCTTCCCTAGACTGTAAGCTCTAGATGGAAAACACACTAACACACACACACACACACACACACACACACACACACACACACACAAGCACTGTCTGTGTACTTCATGGAGGTACCTGAGTCCATAGAACAGCGTCCAGGTTTGATAAATACTTTCGAATGAGTAACTACAGTAGACAGTATGTAAAACTATATACTTGTTATTTCTCCCAAAAGTTACCTCCTAATGCCTTTAATTATATGTTTCTAAGAATATTTCACAAAATTCTGCAGCATAAAGAACAGTATTCTATCTCTGTGAATTTAGAAAGGAATTTAACTTCCCTTTGCTCCATTTTTTTTTTCAGCTGTGAAATGGAATAATGTTCACCCTGCTGTGAGCCCAGATATATGAGACTTTAGGCTGTAAATGTAAGTCTTTATTATTTGGCAACAAGTAGCAACCATACTTATTTCTCACTTAGCACTATTAAATTGTTTTGCAGTCTAAATTAAATGAAGTACATTCATAATGGTTTTAAATGTTTTAAAATATTGATCTTATTTGGGTTGTGTTATGCATTTGTAGACAGGTGTTTATTTCTGGCAATGGCTACTTTTTCATCAATAAGCTAGAACTTAAATTGTAATATTTACAGATAACATAATGAAAATAATAATTATGGTTGGAATTTTTAACGCATCTAATGTGCTAGGAAAATGTGAATATATATATATTCACGTTAATATATTTATATATATATAAATGTGAATATATATATATATATATATATATTTAAGTCTAATCAACCAGGTTGTGACGTATATACATTTATAATTCATATCCGACACACAAAGAAATAGGCTTACAGGATCTGTGGGTTTTGTCTAAGTTTCTAAAGTTGATAAATATAATAACTGGATTTCAAGACTATGCATATAGACAGAAATGGAGAAACAACTCTCCCCATTCCACCTTTAGCACTGTATATTCAGTGAAGAAGGAATTGTGTATTTATATTATTTTTGTATATTATGTGCTCCTCAGAGGAAACATCTCTGCTTTCTTCTCCAACCATAAATTAAATACCTTAGTTCTGTCCCTTTGTATTTATTTACTTATTTCAGTGTGTAAATTCCACCCTTCCTACACAAAATAATGTAGACAAAATATCTGTTATTTATTTTACTATGTAAATATATTTGAATATCACCAAATAAAGCAAAAGAAGTAAGCAAAAGGCTTTTGCCTAAAGAAGTTTAAACCTTTTCCATTAGGTACTATGAAGGCACTGAGGTATTTTAGTTTCCTGAATAATATAAGTAGAATTTTAAATTTTAGGAAAATTAATAATACCTTTTAGGATGGTTTAGAGAGAGTTGAAGACAATTTCCCTGATGAGTTCATATGATAATTGTTGAAACAGATGTGTAAATAATTATGCTACAACATGATTAAGTTTTGTGATGAAGGGAATTTTTGTCAACATAATTAGAAAGAAGAGCAGCTTTTCTTTTGAAGTTTTAAAGACTAGCTTTTCCTAATCTTATTAGAAACCACAATTCAGGATAAATTTATACCAAATATACTGTTTGTTTCTGTACTCTGCTTCTATATAGTTGGAAGAATAATTATATACTTAAATGTGATCTATAAATACGTATGTCTCTATACACAAATATACATATATGTGAAGGTTCTAAGGTTTATTTTTCAATGAAATGAATATGTATACTTTGAGTTTATTTTATGATCTTTTAAAGATTATATATAAATTATACATTGTGAATCACTACTAAATAAGGTATTTAACTTGGTATTCAAAAGTATTTAAATAACTTGCATACAAATAAGTAAAATCTTTAAAGAAAATAATTTTCCACAAATACATTAAATTGGCAATTACAATAGTGTTTGCCTATCTAAACATATATAAACATAGATGAGTAAAAGTATGGCATAAAGGATAAAAATATTACCCCTGTGTACAACACTTATCATGAATGGCGCTTGCAGTACTGGAAGTTGCTTTAGGAATTTATAGGGCCAACAAGTTCATATGCCCACTGTACAGTAACAGACTCATTACAATGAGACAGCAGGGTTTGCAATGGAAAAAGAATTTCGTTATCACAGGTGCCAAAGGAGGAGGTGGGAGGAGTCCCTCAAATCCATCTCCCCCAGGGTTTTCTAATGGAATTGTTAAAGGAAACAGACTGGGAAATTGGGGTTATTGATTGGCAGGGGAATGGGGGATGAAATCATCAGGATATAATCTTTGGTGAGTCAGCTCCTGTGGGATTCTTCAGATCAGCTGGAGCCTATGGGGTCATTCAAACCAGCTAAGTCAGTAGTTTCATCAGGAGGCAGGACCTGAAAGAAAATGAAAAAGGAAAATCTTAATGTTATATAATGTTCAAGTTACTATCTATAAAAAAGTTAGAACTATATGCTCTTAACAGGGTCTATAAGATTCTGAGGCAATAGGAACAAAACAACTGTAGGAAAGCCAGTCAGACAGCAAGCTGACATAATGATTAATGCTGCATGATCTGGAAGCTTGGTTTATTTTCATTTCTCCCTTTCCCTTTTTCCCTGATTAATTTTATAAAGTTTGCAGGGATGGTTTTGGTTCCCCATGCGCTTGATCATATGTCTGTCTGGAGATGAGAACTACTATGGTGGGAATTGAGTGAAAAACACCCAGCTTTTTTTTTTGCTGGCAAGGGCAAGAGTTGGGGTAAGAGGCAGAATTAGAGGAATGAAACTGCCTGGCAGTAACCAGTAAGTGTTTACCAGTTCCTGGTCCAGGATTTCAGGGATGTAGCATGAATACATTAGGACTGCTGTCCATTGTATAAATTAGAATCCCTGTTGTCAGAATCATGAGCCCAAATTTTAAGAGTCCTTTTAAAGTAAACTGAAGACTTTATGGTGTTTGTAAGATCTTATAGACACAAAGATGCTGTTCTGTCAATCATATGATATCTGTTTTAACATTAATGCCGGTCAGTTGTTTTTGGACTCCAAAAGGAAGAAGTTTGTATGACTTCCCATCCTGTTATGGTCAGGAACTCAGTTTTAAGGTTTGCTGGGGTCTCCTTAGCCACAAGGGGTCTATTCAGTCAGTAGAGGGCTTAGGATTTTATCTTTAATTCACATTCCCCCCTTTTTTGGTCAAAATATGCCAAAAGTAGCATCAATGACCAAGCTTTTATTTCATTTCATAGTATTGCCAGGTGGTGTGGCTATCTGCCTTCTTCAATATATTCTGCTCTTCAATGGGACCCATATGGCCAAGGTCTTATAGCCAAAAGACTTATAGCCAATTAAACATTCTAGGCCAAAAAGGAATGGAGGTGGGCAGGCACTCATTGTTTTTTAAAACTCTTTTGAGCAATATAAGAGCCACAAGCCAAAAGCCAAAAAGTCAGGTTACAAATTCAATTTATCTATAAGTTCTATATATTGGGCCATTGGCATCTATGAGCCCATCTTTTTTGGAGGATTTAAACTCATTTTACTCCTCAAACCTAACTCTCATAATTTCACATGGCCATCTCTTTTACAATAGTCCCTGGTCATAAAGGGATTGAATAGTTTTGATTTCTGGCCTTGTGTCTCACAAAAGCAGGTTACATTGATTGTCGCCTTTTTCTGGGTCTGAAGATGAGGCTTTCGTTAACTTGAGTTTGATGTCAGATACTGGTGTCAACATTCATGATTAAGAGTTGGTGCTCTTTTTAGGTGAGATATGTGTTCCAAGGAGTCAAAGCCCTGTAAAGTAATAGTACAAGGATTAATTAATAGCATTTGATAAAGGACCCTTTCAAGGGGGTAGGGGGTGGGTAGAGTCCTTTAACTGATGCCTCTCTCAGTATATGTAACTATTAGATTGGAGGTGGTGATATTGGAATTCATGGTCTGACCAGAACTGTAAAAATATTTTATTACTGTATAGCTTTGATTAGGCCAACCAATAAGTCTAAGTCAGAAACTTATTTAGGATTTGATTTTGAGGATGTTTGTCAAAAATGTTAAAAGGTCCAAAACATTTGATCAAAGTAAAATCACAGTCTAAGTTAAAATAGTAGTTACTGATTTAATCAGGAGTGATAATCAAAATATTTGAAGGCAATACAGTAAGTTACATGGATATAAAATTCTTAAATGGAGTCTATCATCAACTGATATTTGGTCAAAGAATGATGGTCTGTACTTTAGTATGAATTTATTTAATAGATGATCAGTCTTAAAATAATGGTGGTTTAGGATTCTTTGGATGACCCAAACCTTGCTGCTTAAAGGGTAAGCCACAGGCCAGCATCATCAGTGTCACATGGAGATTAGTAAAAATATAACAAACCTAGGCCTCAGGATGACTCTCTAAGAAACTATTTTAATAAGATCTTCAAGTTTTTTGCGCATACCTAATCTTTGAGAAGCACTGGAATAGAATGTACTAAATCTTAAGGAAATAACCTGAATAATGACCCCATAATATGGGGCTCTAAAGGCCATGTGTGTGGAACAAAGGCAGAGAGTAGAGTTAAATAAAATTTGCAGGAGCCCACAGATTTAGACTGGGCTCCTGCATGGGCCCAACAGACCAAACCAATATAAAGCTTAATCACAGTAACTGAGCTTTAGGTAATTGCAGGAGGCTCTGTAATCAATTAACCAATTGTGCTGTAACCAATTTAGTTGTCTATATACCTTAATTCTATTTTCTATAAATGCTGTCAGGTCACATAGTTAGCTGGAGTTCTCTGAACCTGATTTGGTTCTGAGAGTGGTCTTCCTCATGAATCATTTTTATTTTGTTTCATTTTGCTTTTAATTGCTCAAATAAACTCCATTGAATTTAATTGGTGAAATAATTTCTCTCCTTAACAGTAGCAAAATAATGGGACTATACGGTTCTTCTCAGCAGTTTTTCTTAGAATTTACCTAATATAAAAACATAATAAATTTTTTAATTAGTTGATTTCCACTTTTCACACAATAGCCTGAGGAGCTCTAAGGATTCACTCCCAGTGAAACTGGTGAATATTATAAAATAACTGTCATTTCAAGTCAATGGCTCTAAGAACATACAGCAAATAAGGAATCACATATTTTTTAAAATATACCAACATTGATAACTCCTCCAAGCTTATTGAAATGGAAATTACACTCCAGACTGATATAGGCATTATTTTGGGTCCCCTTTCCCTCCAGTTTCCAGTCAGATAAGTATTCTTTCAGGAGGGTTAGATATCAGCACTTCTTACCGTATTCCTAGCTACATGTCACTGAAGAGAACAGTTCAATAGTGGAGGCAACCTTGTTCTGCTCCCTACTTAAGAGACAGAGGATCTACATTGGATACAGTACTGCTGAGTATACTGGAACCCTACCCTTCATTGTCCTGGCTTTTGTGTCAGAGGCT